CAACATTTGATTCTTGAAATGAAACCATAAGTACAGGACTTAGTGTCTAATCAATGAAAGGAATTCCTCTCTGGTTTTGGAGTCCTCGCGAAACACGCCGATCATACTACTGGTGATGGTCTTGCTGTTGATTTTCTGCACCCCTCGCATACTTATACACATATGTCTATCCAAATAAAATCGCGTATCAATTCAAATATTGATTTTTATATATAGAGTACATTTTATATGAATTGATTCAATATTAGTTAAGTATGCACCGAAGCTACTGTTGGGGATGTGGCCAGCCCAACTACCGGTGTCACTATCGGAGACGCTAGACAAATCAGTAGGAAAGGACCTGAAACCAAATCTTTTGTTGAGATAAATGAATATTTAACATAAGAGTACTAAATTGACTGACCCTGTAGTCGTCTGGCGTACATTTCAACCACCCTGGCCAATTTACTCAGTCCCAGCACTTGCTTATTAGGTAAATAGCCGATAGAGACGTGTCCATAGATGGGCACCAAATGGTGTTCGCAAAGGGAGAACATCTCAATGTCTTTGACGATAACCATTTCGTCGTGATCTTCATTAAAGACGGCACCGTTCAAGAGGTCGGGCAGTTTCACGCCATACCCGTGCGAGAAGTAATACAGAGCTTTGGCCGCTCGCATCGGTGTCTTCATAAGACCCTGGCGTTCGGGATCCTCACCGATGGTCTGTAATATCTCTGTATATAATTTCGTCAACTTTTTGATGGTATCCTCGCGTTTGTCCACTTCTTCGGCGACCACTTTCTGATAGTTTTCCGAACCACTCGTTTGATAGGCTTTTGAATCCATTATAATTATAATCTTTTACTTTTACTTTTTTATTTATCTTCCAGATATTGTACACTCAAACAATGATATATTAATATGACTGTTGATTGTAGTGGTCTGGATTCTATGTGATAAACTTATTAACAATAATGTAATCTTGGTCTGTACAATTAAATAATATTTATTAATAATTAATTATAAAAGTGTGGATCAATTGACCGTCTGCTTGCAGTTGGCCACCCGTTAAATGGAAAACTTTTTTTAAAAGTACTTTTTTATGCTGAAAACAAATCTGATGTTAAAATATCTTTATATCAATCCGTTTTCGAGATAATCGGTGGTAAAGTCGATTTAAACGCCTTTGCATTTGCATTACACCGACAGTGCAACAGTTATGTGCTTTGCAGTGAAGCAGTGAGGGCTTCACTCGCAGTCAAACCATTTACGTGCTTCACTGCAAAGCACATAACTGTTGCACTGTCGGTGTAATGCAAATGCAAAGGCGTTTAAATCGACTTTACCACCGATTATCTCGAAAACGGATTGATATAAAAATATTTTAACATCAGGTTTGTTTTCAGCATAAAAAAGTACTTTAAAAAAGCTTTCAATGAACAGGTGGTCTACTGGAAGCAGATCCAATTGACACGTTGTTCACAAAACCCTGACTTAGGGTTTATTTGTAATACAAATTGTATGGCATATGAAGTGTTGGAGAAATAGTGGAAAGCATTGAACGCTATTTCAGAGCATTTGATGCGATATTTTGGTTATTTTGGTCACAATTATTGCAAAACACTGTTGTTTTTGTGATCATTTTATGGTTATTTGCAAATTATTCTTCATTTCATTTGATCCACTCGTGTGCCACACATTCACTTCAATTTGCGTTCAATTAATAAATTAATAAAATGTCTCATTTTAAGAGTGAAGTCATTCAGAGACTAAGAGTAAGTGATGACTATTTATAAGAAATGGCAATTTGGGTGATAATTAATGGTATGATTATTAATGGTATGATTGTCTCAATAGTCGGACATCCGGTCAAAACTGGACCAAATCGGGGCGTTTGTAGGTATGCGTCAAAAACCATTGTCTCACTGATGGACACAATGTCTGTACCAATCGATTGACTAATGAATTGTTTTGATGGCATATGTGTGCAGACAATGAATTAGCGGATTATATAATGGTTTTGGTGGCCAACCAGAAGACCAAATATCAGATGAAAGACGATTTGTCGCTCTTCTTGGGCGCAGAGACGGACCAATTCGTGAATTGGTTGCACACGACTCTCAAACAACTGCAACTCAACGCCAACCCAAGTATTGGCCACTTCTTGACCATCACTTTATGGGTGTCTTAATGTCTAATATATTTGTTTGGTATTAAAGGCGACGACAAGAAAGTTGTGGCGAATGAAGAGGAAGTGCAGACGAAAGAGATGACCAAAAAGACGAGTTTAGACGCGAATAAGAGTAATGCCAAACATAAAAGGACTAAAAGTGATGGCATTCAAGAAGACAAACCAGAAGTGGCGACAAAGAGTGTCAGTGAGAGTGATGTTAAGGGAAACAGTGAACCGGAGAAGGGGTTGATTCCACAGACCAATGATGTCGTGGAATCCGATGACAATAAACTTGAAAAACATGAACAAAACGATAGCGAAGTTGTTCTGCGATTGAATCCCGACGGCGACGGAGATGTCGACGAATTACTGCAAGAAAGTGATGTCAACGACAACCACAAAATTGGTGCCAAGAAAGTAGAGACCAAACAAGAGGTGGCAAAAGAGGTGAAGAGTATAAAAGCAACGCTTCCCAGACGACAACCACTGACTACAGCGCCCGTGTCTACCATCGGAGCGGTTGTTCGCAGTAAACCTCGACCTGTCAGCAGTGATGATGAGGACAGTGCCAAAGAGTGCAACAGTCGACCAGTGGTGTCATCGGTGGCCAGTGTTGTGCGGGTCACTCAACGCAAGCCAAGTGTTCCGCTCGCACTTCAGGCCAATAAGAATCTGTTGTTGAGAGCCATGAAAGACGCTCACCAGTCGACCGCCAGGAAGCGGACCATCGATGAGGTGGCGGAGTATACGCCCACTCCTATCACTCCCATCAAGAAACGTCTCGGAGAGAAGTCGGAGATTGTGTTCACCGATGAAGTGCAACCAGATTTAGATCCTCAGGATTTGAGGAATTACTTGAATGTTGTTAAAACTGGTAGGCCTTATGACTCGAGAACATTGGATCGCTTTTGTATTTAATTCATACAAAATATTTTT